GGAGTGCCCTCTTCCTCGCGCCGAGCCAGCGGCGCCTGCAGCTGGGCCCGCTGCCTGCGAGAGCCGCCTGCCCTGCAGCAGCACGGGTCACGCGCCCCGTCGACGAAGTCGAGCCGACAGAACAGCTCGCACTCTTTATGGCCTAGCCACTAACTCCACACTGATGCCGCGGACCGATGCGCCAAGTCCCCCCCGACGTCTCAGGGCCAGGCATGCTGGATAGGCCCCCGATCGGGCCACGCGGGCGGCTCGGCGGGGAAAGCTCTCCACGCGACCCAAATGGTGACGGCGGTTCGGGGCGACGAGCCTCGGAGGGTGAGCTGGGCAGGGGTGCGCGGGCCGCGCGCAGAGCGGCGAGGCTGGCGACGCACGTCGCAAGAACCCGAGGGCACGAAACAGTCTATGCAGCGCGTCAGCCCACTCCCTACACAAAAACGCAGCACACAACGGGCCCGCAATACTCGCCCCTAGAAGCTGGGCCCAGCGCATGAGGCTCTGGTTGCCTGGCCCCACGTTGAAACCGCACCCGATGATCCAGGGGCGCCCGCACCCCTGTGAAAAAAAATCCGGCGGCCTCCAGAAGCTGCAAATTCCCCCGCGCGCACTCGAGCCCCACATGCCCATGCATGGTGACCCAGATGAACCCCGACGGGAAGATTGCGTCAATTCTGAACGCCGAAATGCGATCTGCAGCGGAGCTCTTCAGCCCCATTTCCTTAAAAGAGGGGCCTCGGCTTCGAGCGTGACTGGCCGCGGCGGCCACGGCCCCCGCGCCCCGTTCCGTAGGCAGGCGCGAAGACCCCGCGGAGGCCGAGCTGCGCGAGCCATCGGGAGGCCCCCAAGGCCTGGGCGGCCTCCAGTCGGGTCTCCTGGACCCCACAGAACTGCGCCTTGCGGCCCCCCTGGGCCAGCTGCCACTCGCGCACGTCCTGGAAGAACGACCAGGCATGGAGGTTGACCGAGAGGGACCTCCACTCGTCTCCTTTGCAGCCCCTGGCCTGCCGATCCCGACGCGGGCGGCCAGCCCCAGGCGCCGCGTGGCGCTGCCGCGGCCACCGGTTTGCCTCAGCCGCTGGCCGCAACGGCCGCGGCGCGGGCGGCGCTGAAACCCACGCGCTCCAGCAGCCACATGGCGAGCTCGACCATGGTGGCGCTCGTAGGCCCGCTCTGACTATGGTTGTAGTCCATGCAGACTTGGTCAGGCCCCCTGCAGAGAGATCTTCATGTCGCAGGCGATGCCGGATATCTCGAAGCTCATGGTCGCGCAATGCACCACCCCACCCTCGAGCCCCAGCACCTCGTTGAAATGCCTGTGGCCTCGCCCCCCAAGCACTCGACGGAGTAACACTCAAAACTGGGTGTGGGTCTTTGCTGTGTCTGGTATGATGGCGTATCCTGCTAAACCCGCCCTGTGCCGTCATCGCCTCTCCTCCAGCCATGGCCTTCTTGGCGTCCAGCTTGGCCCTCGCCGCCAGGACAATCGCGCTGGCGACCGACGGCTTGGGCGCCGCCATGGCCGCGGGGGCCTCCGCCGAAGGCGCCGCCTCGCTTGCTGACCCCGCAGCCGCAGGCGCCTGGGGCCCCTCCTGCCGACCAGCGGCGCGGGTGTCACCGCCGGCAACTTCAAACGAACTGTCGTTGCCGTCGGCCATGCGCCGCTTTGCCTCCGGCCGCTTGGCCTGCGCCTGTTGCTCCTGGGTGATGGCGGTCACCTTCCTGCGGAGGTCGCCGAAGACGGTGCCCGCAGCCTGCTTGATTTGCTCCTGTAGCTGCCCTTTGCGACGAGCCGCCTCTCTGCGATCCTCTTCACCCACCGCGTCTCGGAGCTGCTCCAAGCCGAAGAGCCCCCCGTCGTCGAGCTCCAGGTCGGCTCCGTCCAGCAGCTTGGACAGGTCCAGCTTCGGTAGGCCACGGTCGGTGGAGTCATCATCGATGGCGATGGTGTGTAGACGGCGGGCAGCAGACTGGTATTTTGCCCTGGCCTCATCCAAAGCTTTGAAGTCCCCGACTCGACCTCCGCCTGGGCGTCCACGAGGAGTTGTTCCACCCGCTCACATTTGGCGATGGACTGGCGAAGCTTCTCATCCGTTTGCTCGCACATCGTCTTCGCCAGCTCGACCGAGACATCTGAGTCCTGTTTGGCACGGCGGTGCGACACCAACTCGACTTCCGCTGCCTCGGTGTATCCCGTGAGGGTGAGGAGCTCCACCAGCTTGACCAGACGATGTTCCTCGGCATCGGTCTTGGAGCCCGCCTGGTCGCCGCCACCAACGACTTCGGGTTCCAATGAGAAGGAGACGCGGGAGGGCCGCCGACCACGGCTGCCACCAGGCGCCCTCTCGGCCGCGGAGCCTGCAGCTGGTGGGTGGTCGCCTCTCTGCGCCCACGGGGGCTTGTCCCGCCCAGCAAGCGAGCGAGCACCGCGCCCAGGGCGAGGAGGACGAGCAGGCGGCTTCTCGACTGGCACCAGTGGACCTTTTGCATTGTTTGCACAATCTCCACCAAGTCTGCTTCTTCGCACACCCGCAGCTGTCGCACTTGACCTGAAGGCCGCCATCCATGGCGGACGGGGACTGGAAACTGCGGCCTGGCTCCCGCTGCTGAGTGCGGGGCCTGTGCCGATGATGCACAAACAAGATGCGTCCACGACCGCACAAGGGCTCGCCGTGGATATTGAAAGAGCCAGAAAACTGCAGTGGGGCAGCTCGCCTCGAGCCAGCCCCTCGGCTGCAGGCATGTAAAGAGCCACAAGGCCATGGTTTCGTACTTGAGCCAGAATGGCTACGTACTCTCCTCCTTTTCCTTTCCTTCCCCCTCCTCCTCCTCTTCAAGCTCCTCCTCCTCCTTCTCCTCCTCCTGTTCCTGCTCCTCTTTCTACTCCTCGTCCTCCTCTTCCTCTTCCTCCTCCCGCTCCTCTTCATCCTCCTTCTTCCGCGGCGGGCTCCGCATGTTCACTCTTGGTGTGCTCAAGCCGGTCTCGAGCTTCGAGCCCGTCTGTTCCACGGGCGATGCCTGCACTTCCCTGATCAGGACAACTCGCCTGGCGATCACTTCTGGATGGGCTGGTGAGGACACGCGAGGCGTCGGTACAGGACAAGAGGAGGGCGGACGGACAACAATATCACGAGCCTAGGTCACCTGAAATCGCGCATCGCGCCCCGCGATGCGCGACGCGCGATTACACTCGCGCCCACGCGCCCTCACACAGCACCCTTGGAGAACGGCAGCTGCTCCGGCCCAGACCGCGACGCGCGAAGCGCGCTACATCTCCTCGCCACCGCGGATGACCCAGGCGAGTCTGCACATCCGCAGCCACACAGACTGGGCGCGGGCAAGAAGGACCGAGCGGCCCCCGAAAAGGGCAGAGATGCATGAGCCGGGCTGCAGGCAGTCGCAGATGAGTATATAGGTGGACTGCCGCGGGAGGGTACGAGCGAGGGGCAACCCGATCGGAAGCCGCATGACGCCCAGAACGATGGAGTTGATCGAACAAGGGCCATCAAGGACAAGGCGAGGTGGAGGCGCGCCTCAAGCAAGCGAGGAAAGCAGCCAGAGGACCTGTCAGAAACAGCAGCGGGGACATCCTCGTAGAACAGAGACTCGTGCTAAACCGCGCTAGTGCTGGAGCTGCAGGCACAGCAACATGAGATCCATTTCAGGACAAGAGCCGAAGATATCAAGACAGGACAAGACATGAGATAAGATCGGCTCAACGGTCGGTGCCACTGGCAACCGTGACGAAGATAAACCGTGGAAATACACATCACATGCCCCATCATCCACCCGTGGAAGTCGTGGAGGGACACATCACATGGTGTCAGAAGAAGAAAGAGGTGCCGTGCGGTGACACGGCCGCTGAACATGATGCTTCTGAGCAAATGAGAACCGAGGGCAGGAATGCCCCTATCAAGCGACGCCACCAAATAGAAGACACAAGGCTGGCGGGATACAATCGAAGCTGGAAGGTTCTTCCCCCATTCGCTCAAGAAACCGCAGCTAGTGGAGACGGCAAAGGCAAAAGACCTGCCAGAGCACCAAACTGTTTGTGGCAAACAATGTCTATGCAATTATCTCTCCAACCAGCTCTGGGTAACGGAAGAGACAAGCGCACCATCACCCAGAAAATAATGCTGGCACGCATAACGCACACCGACACACACGGCGAGGTTGACGCTCCATACTGTCAAGCCGAGCAAGCGATGAGAAATAACGAGAATCAGAAACAAGGAACCCCTCGAGACCAAGCCGTGAAGGTCAAGCAACTACTTGAATCAGCGGCTGGCCGTCACAACATGCGGGATCAGACCCCGTTCGTGGACGTCGGCACCATAATGAAGGAGGCGCCCAAAGGAGGACTTCCCGCAGTGCCAGAGCGCGAAGCTGCACGACCAGGCGGAGTTGCGGGACTTCCCCAGGGGGCCTGCGGGTGGCCCTGCAGGTGGGGCGCCGCAAACAGCGGCGTCCTGCCATCCCCCTACTGACACCACTGCTCGACGTGGAGCGGAGCGCGTGGGCGGTGGGGGTCTCCCGGCAAAACGGGGCTTTGGCGGTCGAAGCGATCGGCCGCGGCCCGAGCGTGCGCTTCGGACCACGTTTGCACGGAAACTGCTTGAACATCTCCCTGTCCTCCTCGGTCTCGTCATGCTCTTCCTCCTCCTCCTCCTCCGTCTCCTCCTCTTCCTCCTTTTCTCCTCCGACTTCGACTCCTCCGACTTCTGAGGCTCCTCGTGCGTTCCCTCGTCGTCGTCCTCCTCCTCCTCTTCCTCCTCCCCCTATTGCTCCTCCTGCTCCGTCGCAACCTCCTCCTCCTCCTCCTCCCCCTCCTCCTCCTCCTCCTCCTCCTCCTCCTCCCCCTCCGGGCGGCAGCGGAGGCGGCGGAGCGCGGAGCGGCCGGAGCGGGCAGCGGCTGCCGCGGAACGGAGGGCGGCAGAGGCGTAGCGGCGGCGGGGGAGCCGCAGCACCGGAGCAGCAGGTGCGGCGAAGGGCGGCAGCGGAGCTGCCTCCCCCGCGCGGTGCGCCTCCTGGAGCTCGCGGCGGCTGGCCTGCCGCGACCTCGGCGAGGCGCTCGTCGCCGAGGTCGTCGCCAGCGGCGTCGCCGGTGTCGGGAGCGGTCGTCTTCGTCGCCGCTGGCGTCGGCGTCGTGGTCTGGGCCGTCGCCGTCGCCGTCGCCGTCCAACAGGGGGTATGTCGACCCCCATCCCAGGCTTCGTGGGGGGGGTTCGAATGGACCAGGCATTTGGGGCCCAACCCTGGGATATACGATGGGGGGCGTCCATCCTCGGTAGGGTTGCGTCCGAATAGCCCTCTTGGGGTGTATCCCAGGGTTTCCCCCTTTGTCTGAGCGGCTTCGAAGCCGGGGGTGGGGGAACAAAAACAGCCCGCGACCGTCGATGTCGTCGTCGGAGGGAGGGGGGGGGGGTAAGAAAGGGGGGGGGAGAGGTGGAAGAGGGGCCAGAGCAAACCTAAGACACAGACACGATGCTGCAGTTCACGCTCCCGTCCCAAGCCCCCTCCCCGCAGCTTCAGACAGGGGCGGAAGGGGGAGAAGCGGAGTCCCGCCATCGAGAAGTTCTGCTCTCGCAGTGAGACACGCCCGTGGACGCCTCGTGGGCGCCCCGTGCGCCGACTGGGTGTTGCTCCCTTCGGTCTGGTGGGCGCCCGTGGGCGCTGCGTGGGGAGGGGGGCCATGCGCCGCCGGGCGTGTCGTGCACACGCAGGCTGCGCCCAGTATTCCGCAGGGCATAGAGAGCAACCCGTGGCTTGCACGGCATCGATTGCACCACATAGATTGCGCGCCATAGATTGCACCCCAAAGCTTGCACCGTATGGCTTGCACCAAAGAGCTTGCACCACGTAAGTTGCACCACGTAGATTGCACGACATACCTTGCACCACACAATTCCAGAGTACGCATCCAGGAGCGAAAAAACTCAACCAGTCGGAGTCCACGCGGGCAAATCCGCCACCGTGCCCGTGGCACGAAGAGGAGTGTCCCCAGGTCCCCCTTGCTCAACCCCTGAGCCTCAATCCTCCATCCTGAGGAGAAAAAAACAGCAACAACAACAAAACAGGCCTGGACCACGATACCCCTGACATCTCTCCGGGCTTCTTCCGTGCCTCCTGGGGCGTGTCGCGCCCAACAGGGCCCCAGGACGAGCCAAGAGAGCCCCAAGAAGCCCCCAAGACAGTCTAGGAGGGCTCCGAAGCGCCGAACAGCCGGTCCCACACGCCCAAGATGGCCTCCAGTAGGCCGACAAGGCGCCCAAAACAGCCCAAGAGGCCTCCAAGAGCCTTCCCAACACGGCCCCGAGACGCCAAAATGGGTTATGTTGCTGCAGCTTTTCAATGTGTTGTTGGTTCTCGACATTCCGAGCTTCTGACGCTCCCGGAGGTCCCAAAGAGGCCCCCAAGACAGCCCCAAGACGGCCCCAGAGGCCCCCAAGAGGGCACCAAGACCGCCCCAAGACGGCCCACGAGGCCCCCAAGAGGGCCCTCCCAAGACAGCCCAAGAGGGCCCAAAGACAAGCGCCAAGGGGGGCCCAAGAGGGGAAACACGAACCGAAAATCCGAGCTCTCCGCCCCAAGAAGCGCCCAGGAGGCCCAAACGAGTCCCCAAAGAGGCCCTAAGAGGCCCCCGAGAGTCCCCTGCGTCCTCGTCGACGATCGCGTCGAGGGCGGCCCCTGTTGAGGAGCCGCTGCCGACGCCTCGTGGGCAAGACAGGCTCACCGCGTCGGCAGGTGCGTGTGCCTCCCAGGGGGGAGGACGAGGAGGAGAAGGTTGCCGTCAAGATCGCCTCCGTCGGTACCTCTCTGAGCTGCGCCCACACAAGCGAGGAAGAGGAGGAGGAGGAAGAGGAGGAGGAGGAGGGCGAGGACGAAAAGCAGGACGAGGAGGAGATCGAAGGCGGGGAGGAGGAGGAGGAGGAGGACGACGACGACGACGACGAGGAGAAGGACAAGTGCGAGGACGGGAAGGAAGACGACGATGAGGAGGACGGAAAAGGTGACGGAGGACGAGGTCGTCGACGTCGTCGCCTGCGTCGGCGCCCCTCTTGACTGCCCTCACCCTCCCCTGGGATGTCGCCAGGCGGCCGACTCCGCGCGCGCGAGTTTCTGCGAGAAGTCTGCGATGGTCTTGCTCCCTGCGCGACGCTCCGCGTCGTCCTTGTCGTCGTCCTCGTCATCCTTCTCGTCCTCGCCCACGCCCACCTCCATGTCCTCGCCTTTCCTCCCCATTCCTCCTCCTCCTCTTCCTTTTCAACGTCCTGCTTGTCCTCCTCCTCCTGTTCGCGCCGTCGTCCTCGCCTCTCTCTCACTCTCTCTCTCTCTCTCTCTCTCTCTCTTTCACCCATCCCACTCTCCCTCCTCCTCCTCCTCTCCCTGCTACTACTGCTCTGCCGCATCCAACGCATTCTCTTCCACCTCGAGCTCTTGCTCTCTGTGCGAGGCTCATTGTCATCTCCCTCCTGCTCCTTCTGCTCGTCCTCCTCCTCCTTCTCCTCCTCCTGCGCATCGACAGTATCAGTACCATCGTCAGTACCTTCATCATCACCATCACCATCACCATCACTATCACCAGCACCATCATCAGCATCATCATCATCATCGTCAGCATCATCATCATCGTCATCATCGTCATCATCAACATCAGCATCATCATCATCAGCAGCATCGTCATCATCATCACCAGTATCATCATCAGCAGCCAATTCGGCAGCATCAGCCTCATCATCATTGTCAGCATCATCAGCATCGGCATCAGCATCATCATCATCATCAACATCAGCATCACCATCATCATCGAACTCACAATCAGTATCAGCATCAGCGTCATCATCATCCTCATCAGTACCATTATCAGTACCATCAGCAGCATCAGCATGCTCATCATCATCACCACCAGCATCACCATCATCACCGTCAGCATCATCGTTACCATCACCATCACCAGCATCATCATCACCCTCGTCAGCATGTGTTCCATCATCGTCATCACCATTATCATCAGCATCACCATCATCGTCATGATCAACGTCATCAACATCATCAACACCAGCATCAACATCCACTGCATCATCATCAGCAGCATCATCACCATCGTCACCATGACCATCAACATCATCAGCATCATCACCACCATCAGCATCATTACCATCATCACCATCATCATCCAAAACACCAGAAACACCACCACCAACACCAACTCAACAACAGTATGATCGCCGCCGTCACATCGTCGACGTCGTCGCCTCCGTCGTCGTCGGCGTCGTCACGGTCGTCGTCCTCATCGTTGTCGTCGCATCCCTCCCCCTCCTCCTCCTCCTCCTCCTCCTCGTCCTCCTCCTCCTCCTCCTCCTCAGCAGCAGCAACATCGTCATCGTCATCGTCGTAAGTTTCCTCGCCGCATTCCGCATTGGCGCCTCGACACTGTGGACCCTGGTCCGTCCCATCCTCCGACTGGTCGTCCGCTCCCTCGTCTGCCTTCCAATCATCAACACCAGCCTCTCGCCCCCAGCGCCTGCTCTGCTCCTCCTGCTCCGTCTCCTCTTGCAGCGTCAAGAACTACGAAGAAATATTCAGTACCCGCGCCTTCTTCATCCTCATCGCCAGCCACCGATTTCCCCCTCATCGTGGCTCCCCCTCGTCTTGACGCATCCTCCCCTCCACTTCTCCGGTTCCTCAGCACGCTTCCCCTCCTCTTGCACATCCTGCGACTGTTGCTTATGCTCTTCATCCACCACTCTCATGCAACTTACCCTACTCCGCATCCTTCGCCATTCACCGTGGCCTAATCCTCCTCCTCTGCCTCCTCATCCTCCTCTGCCTCCTCCTCCTCTTCTTCCTCCTCCTCCTCCTCCTCCCACTCCTCCCCCCCCTCCTGCTCCTCCTCCTCCTCGTCCTCCTCCTCCTCCTCATCCGCGTCCGCCTCCTCCCTCCTCGTGAGCGGCGGCCGCCGCCTCCTCCTCCTCCTCCTCCTCCTCCTCCTCCTTCCTCCTCCGCCGACAACACATCTTCCTCCTCCCCCTCCTCCTCCTCCTCCTCCTCCTCCTCCTCCACCTCCTCCTCCTCTCCTCTCTCCTCCTCCTCCTCCTCCTCCTCCTCCTCCTCCTCCTCCC